ATAGGAGGAGAAGGAGGAGGAGGAGGAGGGAGGGAGGCACAGGAGGAGGAGGACGAGAACGCAGGAGGAGGTCGCGGGAGGAGGTCGGAGCCGCGGGGTCCGCCCGCGGCGCGGGGGGCCATGGCGACCCAGCTGGTGAGCGCGGCCGACAAGGGCGGGATCCTCGTCGACGCGTCGGCCGGACGCCCGCCTCCTCCTCCTGCGCCTCCTCCTCGCTTGCTGTCTCCTGGTGTTAAGTCGGGCGTGCCCCTCTACAGGAGAAATATTCAAACATGGTCAAAATATACGGGGACGATTTTTCGATTAGTTTTACCTGTTAGGGGATATGTTTGACTATTTTTTATTTGTCGTCCAAAATCGGCCTGTAGGGGGACATGCCCGACCTAATCCTGGTGTTCCTGCCCCGTTCTGTGCTCCTCGCATGTCCCTCTCGTTCCGCCCTCCGCCCTCTCTTCTCCTGCTCTGCCCCTCCTGGCTTCTTGCGGCCGCTGCTCCTCACCTCATCCCTCCGCCCTCCTCCTCCTGCAAATCCCTCTTCCTCCGCCTTGAGCTGCTTCTTGTTATCTCCTCTCCATCTCTCTCTCACTCTCTCTACTCTCTTTCTTCCACTCTCTGCTGCTTCTGCCTCTCACTCAGTTTTCCCTTCCTCTCTCTTTTTTTTTTCTCTCTCTCTCTCTCTCTCTCTCTCTCCCTCTCTATATATATACATATATATATATATCTCTTTCTCCTTCTTCCGATTCCCGTCTATATTTTCCCCACCCGACAAGTAGAGGTCGCCAGATTTGAAGAGCAGGCCTCCGGTGCCGTCCACCCTGCATATCGCGGCTTCCTGATCCACAGGTCAATCGAGAATCCCCCGAGACCCCCGCCTCGCCCGATCGTCGAAGACGACCGGACCTGACATACTTTGGCATTACACCACACAGCATGACATAACATAACATACCATAGCATAGCATAGCATTACATAGCACAGTCTGCCATACCATAGCTTAGCATACCATGACATAATACATCCGAACAGATCAATCATCACACATCATCACAAACCATATCCGTAGATCGCATAACAATGCATACCATTGCAGAGCGCGGCATTACCAGTGTAAAGCACCAGAACATGGCATAGCAGGATACCAGAACAAGCATACCATAGCATTACATAACACCTCATACCACAGCACAGCATAACAGCGCACACAAGGACAGGGCGGAACATACAGAGCAGAGCACAACACCACACTTCATGAGAGACAGTACGCTAACATACCATACCAGACCTAGCAGAGCAGAATAGTTGCCAGGCCAGTTGCCAGAACCACTGTCCCGACAAGTGTGTTTTAGCCCCTACCCTTCCGCCTTCCCCTCGGCAGCTGGGCTGCAACCCTGCAGGCATCCTACACCTGGGATCCACCACGAATCCTTTACAACACGTCTGAATCCTCTGGATACGAATCCTCACCCGAGGCCGGGTGAGGATTCATGACTCGACGCACGGTAATGTAAAAACGCATACCATGACATAGTGGACCATCGTAGAGAACATCACCATACATCATTTTAGAAAACGCAATAACTACGTTGTTTATGATTACTGCTACCACCGCGGCAACGACTCTACGATAGCATCATACACTTCAAGATATTGCGGATTAGTCTCATGACAGAACATAACGTACCATCATTTATTGAATAGAACACACCTGCAACCAGCATATCACAGTTGCATTGATTGGTTATTGCTGCCACTACGGCATCGGGTTTGATCTTCGATAAAAGGTTATAACTTCATAGAAGAGGTATGTCATGGCAGTGGATAACAATGTATTCGATTGGTCGTGGCATGACGTAAACACCAGCACGGAATAGTCCAGAATAGCTAAACGATCCTAAACACCGATTTTCCCGACCCGACAGGTAGGAGCCGTTAGATTTGAAGACCAGACCTCCCAACCCGCCCACCCTACATACCGCGGCCGCCGGATCCCCAGATCCTCCGAGAATCCCCCGAGACTCCCGCCCCTCAGTCCCGAGCCGCCCATTCTGCTCACCCCGGCCGCCAGATCCCCAGGTCCACCGAAAATCCCCGAGACCTCCGCCCTTATGAGCATGACAGAATCTTGTTAACAACACAGAGCAAACACAACATGATAATCGAACGCGTCATGACATAACGTGACCGTCAAGTCCCTGATCTTCCCCTTCGGCAGACCGCGGTATTCGAGCCCGATAGGATCGCGCTCGTGAGCGCCCAGAGGCAAGTCGAGGTGGAGGAGGAGGTGGGTCGTCTCGTCCCGAAACCGTCGCAGCACGCCCATGTAGGGACGAAGTGGGGAGTATGGCACGCACGAGCTGAGCAAGCACTCGAGAGCTGCACGGCACGGATGTGGGTTTGTAGAACATATGAAGCTGAACGAGAAAATGGCTCCACATTCTCGACTCGGCCCACTGCTTTCCCCTCGGCGCAGGACCTCACTGAGACCGTGGCCTTACGCAGGCTACGGCGACCCCATCGAGCTTTCGACGGGCGAGGAGGATATCAGGTTTTAGTTGGTTTTCCTGAGCCTTGACAATCATCTTTCTCAGCCTACGCACGTGCAGTTACGGACGACTTGGTTAAACCATGTGATGGTTGGCCGTCCTATGACCAAGCTCTTGAGGTGGTGAGTCGAGTTGTGACGATCGAGGCCAACAAAATCGCAAACGAACGAAGGAAACCATTGAGTTCTCGCTTTAGGGAGTGGCCCCAAGACGTCTGGAAGGCGACGACCCCCATCTTCAAACAAGCTAGCCCAGCAGCGGGCCTTGACGTGGAAGTGATGATAAACGAGCAGTGGTTGAGTGCTGTTCGCGTGCATGGAGTGGTCCATGGATATGCTGCGTGAGCGGCGAGTTTGCGGAGCCCGTGCGGGTGCTCCGCGGGTTCCTCAAGGCGACGGTTGTGTTCCCGGTGTTACGGCTGCTACCTTGGCCCCTCGGGGCTGCGAGCCGGGCCGCGGCGGGGCCTGCGCGGGCGACCGTCGTCGGACAGCGCCGGGGCCCCGAGTTGAAGAACTCCTGTCCGGAGGTCTCCAGTAGACCCAGGATTTCGACGGCACGATCGGGCCCGCGGAAAACAGAGGACAGCGACAGATGCGGGCGCGGGGGGAGCATGACGAAGTCGAACTCTTCGGCCATGCGCGCGCACCCGCTGACCCCCGAGACGCCCATCAAACCCAGAGGACGCAGGCCCAAGCCCCAGCGAGCCGTCCAGATCTTCCAGGTCTTCCTAGGAGCTACCGAAGTCCGAGAGCGATTCCTAGCAGCATGCGCGAGGCTCTTGCGGCTCTGGCCCGCGCCTTTGGCGGGGCCCCTCCCCAGAAGTTTCGCCGGCCAGATCTTTCGCACTGTGCTCAAATTAAGATGTAGGTGGCGGTGCTCGGGGAGTGGCGGGCCATGCGAGTTCAGCACCCCCCCCTGCCCCCTGCCATCCAGCGATGCAAAAGTATCCTGAGTGAGAATTGTGCCCGGCCGGTTCGCGCCCCGCGGCCCCCGATCGAATTTCTTTCAGCCGGGGCCAGATGCGCGGCATCACGGCGGGGGCGGGGCGTCAAGCCCTGGGCATCGGGATGATGATGGCCCCTGAGACGTCCGTGTTTCATGGCACGTTCGCGATGCTCAATGCCAGCCGCTGACGAAGGCCATCGTGTTGCCCGCGCGACTGCCCGCGCCCGACGCCTTCGAGCCGCCCGCGAGAGCCGCCTCGACACGGAGGGCACCGATGGCGCGGACGTCGACGCTAGCAGCGGCAAGTCCTCCGTAGAATGCGTCAAGGCCTTCGAGCCTGATCAGAAGAGATTGGTGAATTCTCACCGAGCTCGAGTGTCTCAGACCCACGCGAGGCCCCAGAACAATCGAGCCTGTCAGTTTTGCGACCGCCCCCTACCATCCACGGCATCTTCGGCGTGATTGCCCAAAGTTCGAGGTCCAGAGGACGGCGCTGCGCGCGAAGTACGATGTTCCATATGCTTTTCCCATGGCGCAGCCCCGCGATGGATCGCCCGCCAAGCGTGCCCGGCGATCGCGACGACGATCGGAGATTCCGGCGGCCGCGCGCACCCTCGCAATTGTTATCTCGTCCGGGAGTCTTAGGCTTGATGACCGACGGCGCCGTCAATGGCATCGTCTTCAGGACTCGTCGGTGGTTTTTCTTAATTTTCTCAGCACAGAGCATGGCCATGCGCGGCATCTTGCTACAGGGCATGCCGTGACGCAGTGACGGGCGAGATGCTGTAATTGAACCCACAACATACATATCGCAACATCACGCAGTGTAACATACGAATGCATTGCACACCATAACATAAGTTGTCATGACACACACACGACGGCATAACATACCAGACCATAAAACATTGCCGCAAACAAGGGCATCCCGTCGCATGACAAATCATATATAGGCATCGCTCTATACAATTTTTGAGTTTAAGAGCAGCAGGGCATGCCCAAACAGAGCATGACACACAATAGCACAACATCACTCAGTACACCATCGCATACTTCAGCACTGGACACGAAACAGCACAAGACTGCATGACATAACGGTGCACCGTATAGGCTAGCAGGGCTCTTCTTAATTTCGCATCATGCAATCGATTTGCTAGTGCTACCGCGACGGCAACGCCCGTACTTTAACGCTATATATTGTTTCAGGCTGAGAAGGATCAGCATCGCGCGCGGTGGTATTATGAACATGGCGCAACAACACCAGCATGCCAAAGCAGATCATCCGCACTATTGCTACCATCGCGATCGTGGATATCACGAACCATCATCGATCCAAAACTTCAACAGTGATGGCAGAACCCGAACGCAACATGGCGTCACACAACGATCAGATCATACTGCAACCATCATGCCAGAACAGCGTACAACAAGAGCCCACCACAACATGCACACTCACCTCTTGACAGATGCGAACGTAGCACCGTGCATTCTCTCATAGTAGAGCGAAGCACCGCAAACGCGACGCGCGCGCCGAGGTCAGGCCGGCCCGGGGAACATATTGGCGAAGCAACGATCGATTGGACGACCTACTTAACGCGACAGGCGCCACGACGTCGCGCTGGCCCGTCGAGAACACGACCGAGCATACTGAAACATAACATGAAAAATGGCATGACTGAATACGCCAT